TTCAGACCGATGAGCTTTGTAAAAATCGACGCGTTTCAGAAGGCGGGGCATAGAGGAGAAACAATAATGTACAGTATGTGGAAAATAATGTGTTTTTTGACCCTTAAACCGCATAAACACATTTCATTACACCAAATACACAAAATACTGTTATTTTTAGCAACATCATATGACCCCTTTAAAGGAATAGTTTCTTTACAAATTCAAATAATTGACACAGGTTGCAGAAATGGTTAAACACACAAAAAGTCTGAGCAGCTTCTGCAAATACTTACCTTCTTATGCAGAGTGAGACATGCTTATGTGGGTGAAAAGTTCATGTTTATACAATCTAGATGTTTTAAAGTCAGCTTCAGAGTCTGACATGACTTTCCAAGAGTCATTGGAATGAATCATGAGATAACTAGCAAACCTGTTTAATAGATATTGACCTCTGGAAGTAACGAGGGGTCGTTCTGAAGCAGAAGTTGAAACAACTCTCCATGCGCAAGGCCATAAAGATCATGTTTCTCCAGGAGGTCAGAATTATGCGTTGATGTCAAGTCATGGGAATTTTTGCATTTTGTCCTACGAATGACAAATAATAAAAATTACATAGATTTAATTGTATGTTCTATCATACACAGATCATAGAATCATCCATATATCAAATGTAGAGTTTTTATATAATTGTGTCATTTTCAACAAGCTGTAATTGTGTCCCACTAAGCAAACATTGTGTAAATATTAATTATTAACTGAGTACATTTAGTATGTACACCGTATTACAATTATTGCTGGCACCTATTCTGACTTTACCAGTTCTTAAAGGGGTCATATGATGCGATTTCAAGTTTTCCTTTCTCTTTGGAGTGTTACAAACTGATTGTGAATAGATAAGATCCCTGAAGTTGCAAAGACTAAAGTCTCAAATATTAGTACCTATTTATGAGACAAGTGTTGATGCTGGTAACATTTCTCATCATACTAGCTGCAAATGCCCTTTTACTCATTATATGTAATAACTAATTAAATGGCTAGTCGAGTCATAGTTTAATTTAAAATCTTTCTAGTAAGACTAAAATGTTACTAGTAACACCCTAAGTACTAGCGTGTACTAAGAAAACTGGAATACATCCGAGTAAATTTTTGAGTAGCTACAAGCTACTAAATGAATGACTTGAAGTATAAATATGCAGAAATTGTCTTTCTTTGTTTTTTTTGGGTGAAAAATGTATACAAATATGCTCATTTTCATAAAAATATCCAGAATTTAATGTGAATAAAATAAAAATCACCAAAAAATGATAAAAAAAAAAAACACATAAAAAATTAGAAACAAAATTATAAAAATGGACCAATATAAGCTTTCTGGACCAAAAATAAAATTAGTGCCATTTTTGTCCTTCGGGTCATTTTGACCCACGAGGGACACTTTTGTTATAGGTTCGGGAGGGACGGATGAGGTTTTAACTCAACGGGTCAGATTTTAAAAATATTTTTTTTAAATCGAGCGTTGATCGTTATGGTATGAGACTTTGTTACATTTGTCACACTTGAACCGGGAATACATGAAAAAAAAATTAGAGTGAATTCGAGCAGTTTAAGTGGGTCATTTTGACCCACCACTTGAAAAGCATGGAATTTACGAAAAACTGCGGATTTTTTACATTTTTTTATTTTGTCACACTTGAACATGGAGCACACAAAAAAATTTGAGTCGATTCGAGGATTCTATGTGGGTGTAATAAAAAAAGTATTACACCCACAAGTATTACATTCATTTTGACCCGGCCATAGGAATGAATGGAATGTCCGGAAAAAACAGCATTTTTTTTATTTATTTAATTATTTTTTTTTACTATATAAAATCTGACACAATCCAGAAAAGATGCATTCCCAAACAAAGGGCTGAGACTGCAGAATGTCCCCAATACACAAAAAACTCACATACCCACACACACAGGCACACACACACACACAAACACACACATGACACACACACTCCCATTGAAAGACATTATAGCATTTATGATGTTTCTGCTGGGAAATAACTGTCATGAAATTTCTTTTTTTGACTTAACACAGTTAAATTTGAGTGATGGGGTGGAGACCAATGAGTTTATATCATATTCATGTTTTTACATTTATCTTTTATCTTTATTACATATTTATGAAACTGTATGAATATGCATGTGTTTGGATTAAAATTCAGTATCAATTTAATTTTTATTTTTTTTACAAAATATAGTTTTTTTTATGTTTTGATATATATATATATCTGAAAGCCTTGAGATATATCTGAAAGTTTAATGAAGCCTCAAGTTGGTGTAGTTTTAAAGATTTCACTTATTTGACTCATTTAAGAATCTCCATAGGATTCAATAGGCCCCTCTAGTGGCTGTAATCACAAAATGCAATTTTATGTCATTTTTCCCCACCAGATGGCATCAGAGACACCTAGGTCCTGATGGATCATCATGTTTAATGAATAGTTACTAGTGAAACTGAAATAGTCACCAGCAACAAGTGGAATACTAAAATTCAGTGACAAAATTGGCAGGTTGTCACTTAGAACAGTAATATTACTCTAGTTAAATTAAAGCTACTAGTCGCTACTGAATCTCTTACTAGTAAACAAACAAATAAACAAGGCCTAGTACTAACACAAACACAAAAGCTAGATAGTTTTAAGGAATACGTGTCAAAAAAAGTCTTCCAATACCTTATTGTCTTTAATTAATTGCTAAATGACAGTCTTCCATATTATTTATAACAACTGGCCTAAAATGGAACTCAAAGTTTACTTACCCAAATCTGCAATTTCCACACACAAAGTACCTGCACAGGTGTAGGTCTTCACACCCGGAACAATTGTCATGTTTACACAGTCGCAGTGATGTTTTGGCTAAGATCAGACTGTCGCTATCTGGTATGGAGCTTCTGGGATTCGAGTCTTCATCCTGAACTATAACAAACCTCTGGTGATCATCGAGCACCTGAGACAGAACCTGATCCGCCACCGTGATACTCTGCCGCAAAATCCCTCTCGACTTTACCATAGTCCGTGCAGCCCTCATGTTTGCAGATAACGGTGAATATGTGTCTAGAGACGATGTTCATGTTCGTAGATGCCGTCAACGACAGTAAGTCGTTTTCGTTTTTCCTGAGTTTAGCCGATGGTTTGGGGCATTTAAACGGAAACGAAAGCGAAACTGATGCTGGTCTTTGGCGCCCTCTCCTGCCTGCATCTCCAGGAAACCATACAATAGAATAGACCTATATGCAGCTACTAGTTGCTACAACTGTAACTCAAAATGATCTTAAACCTGAAAAGTAAACATGCTAAACTCGTTGGTCAATTTATTTATTTTTTTTTTAAACACCCTTGACCGTATCTCACAGCCGCTTTCATTTCACATAATAATAATTATAAAAAATAAAAAAAAAACATTAAAATAGTTGCCACCATCCATATACTGACAAATTTAATGGGGTGAAGTAAGGGTCAGAACTCCCAAAGGAATTCTGAGAGATTCTGGGAGAAAAAGCACCTCATTACTTTCATTGTGATGAAATTGTCATTACAAACCCAGACTGGGAATTCATTAAGTTGCTGTCTTTGTTTTTACATCTCAAGCTACAGAGAAAGCATCACATGGTGAAGACTTCATCATCTCATCACATACAATCTTACCATTCTCAAAACAACACGGTCTGAGGAGGAGACACAAGCCAACACCTTAGTGAACTGACCAAACTATATTCTTTATTAGAAAGACGGCGCAGTCCCCCAAGAGCTCTACAAATTGTTAGGATGTTACATGCCAAAATATACAGTCTCACATAAAAGTGCAATGTCACAATGGATAAGCAGTATCTTTATTATTTGATCATTCTTACAACTTAATAAACAGAACAACGTTAGTAATAATTTATTTACCGTAATCCCTAGCAACTCATTATACTGGATATGAAATAAGAATGCCACAGCACAGAGGACGTTTGGATGAAGTTCCTCTAAAACAGTTTTTAAAGGCACTTTCACAAGTACATAGTACAGAGATGTACATGGACACACTGATATAACAGCAATTAAGTACAGAGATTCTGCTACTGTGTGTAGTTTCGCAGGGAGAACATTTTTCAAGGCTTACATGTAATGCACGCTCTTAAAAAAAATCAAAGAAAATAAAAAATGTTTGTTAATATCGTTCAATATAAATCTTTAGTATGTTTCTTATTACATGTTTCAAAACAGGCATTGCTTTTAATTTTCTTGGTTACGTACAGTTTGTCCCCTTTGTTCAATGATAGACAATTTCGTAACATCCCCCACACACATTTCATAGCATATCCTACTTAAATATGAATAAACTGTTGTATAATTATCAGTGAATACAGTACAAATACACGCACACACACACGCTAAGCTATTGTCAAACTGTCATAATAATGTGAATGTCAATGCACAGATAACGTCAGACTGATATACTGTATACGAAATCCCAGATCTTTAATTTTGGAGTGCAAATACACGGGAGTGACTGATGCTGTACATAACTCTTTATCTTTGGGTACCTTGCGTGACTGACTTAATTTGGGTGTGGTGCTGTGTGTGACATTTTTACGAAGGGTTAATGGGCCTCAAGCACACATAAGAAACAGCACTATCCCATGAAAGCACTGCAGTAACAGTCTCCGAGTCCATGGCTATTGGCATCATTCCCTTGTTTGGTGAACCAACAAGAAATATTGCCTCATAAGTTTCTAGAAAAGTACTTGCATATGACAACTAAAAGGATTATCGTTCATGCTTATAGGATAGAACCAAGCCGAGCGTTTTAGACAGCTAAGCTGAAAAGGAAAAGATTCTTGTTGCCTATCCGCATCGATCTCTAAGCAGCGCTTGAACTTTACTTTTTTGGCAGCTAGACTCGACTATTCACAGATTACATCTAATTAAGCATATAGATACTACAAAAATATTGTTTATAGAGAGCAGTTGGTTCCTGGGAGAAAGTAATGAACGTAAAGACAAAAAAAAAAAAAAGGTTTAGGGGATGTACATTTTATTCACATTTAGCAGTTTTTCTAGTGGATGTAAACTACTGATATAGAAAAAGTCAACCTAACAACATACCGTAGGAAGCTGTAGTGATTTGTTGCTTTCTTTAATATCATTGTCACAACTCCTTAATCTATTCACACAGAGTATTGCGGGAAAAAATAAGGTGTCAGACAAGCGTGCACAGCCAATCAGGACGGGCAGAAGATGTGACATCACATTCCCTTATATGGCAGTGCGTTTCCAACGTCAACATTCCACAAAGAGTCCAGACCAGAAATCACTCTGAGATTTAAAGAGACATTTCCCACAATCCTAATGCTGTAAACAGAGAAACCAAAGACCCTGCTTAGTTTCTGTATTATTCACATTTAGCAGTTTTTCTAGTGGATGTAAACTACTGATATAGAAAAAGTCACCCTAACAACATACCGTAGGAAGCTGTAGTGATTTGTTGCTTTCTTTAATACCATTGTCACAACTCCTTAATCTATTCACACAGAGTATTGCGGGAAAAAATAAGGTGTCAGACAAGCATGCAAACAGTATTTGAAAACAAATAAACTGCTTTCCGTTAGTTGCAGGTGTCTAGAATATCTAAAAATGTTCGTTGGAATCGACTAAACAGGGAGAAAATGTAACTTTCTGAAATAGTAAACACCTGTTTACTCTACTCTACTCTTCCTCAGAACCATGCTTAGTGACCGATGTTATTCTAGTTTATTAATAATCCCTTTAATAGTGTTGGAATTGTATACACACTAACTACCATCACCTCATTAACCACAGTAACGTATTTCTAGTATCTTTAGTTATCTATACTTGCTTTAGTCCACTCTCTGAATGAAATATTGCAAAAATGAAGAACCACACGTCACCATGTTCATTGGCAATAAAATTCACTATAAATCTGGCTCTGACAGCAGCGGTCCTCTTTGTCCCTAAACGTTTCGCCCACAATGAATCACATGGTGCAGGATTTGTCCAGTGGATCCTGTGGAGGAGCCGCCGGATGCTGCGCCGCTCCCGTCTTGGGTATGGCCACCATGGGTTTGGGCCGCAGGGCGGGGGGCTTGAGCTGCACCCCCATGCGCGGGGCCACGGCGGGCTTGAAGGTGCTCATGGTATCGTTGGAGGAGCTGGTGCTGCGGCGCATGGGCGGCTCCGTGACGGCGGGCCGCAGCAGGAGGCCGTGGAGTTGGCTCAGGGACTCGGTGGAGCTGGCCGGTGTGGGAGCGTTCTTCATCTGCTCCAGGGTGTCCAGCACCACGTCAGGGGCGTGTTTCGCAGAACTCTGCCGTTCAAGCTCCTTCAGCTCATTTAGAGCAGTGTTCATCGTCTCCTCTATGTCCTACAAGAAAGAGACAGAGAAGTGTAGGTGGTCAGAATTACAACAATAAACATCAAACAAATGGCAATACAAGCACACAACATGATGAATCACGTCTACTGAGATCAAATATGTGTTCATGAAATGGTCAGATTATTAGTATTAAACAAAGCTGATGTATAAGTGAAACAGTTATTAAAGAGACACTGAAAATGTGAAACCAGTGGGGAGTTATTCAAGTATTTTTTTGGGGGGGGGAGGGCTAGATAGGAACTCAATAAAACCATCTTTTGAAATATTTGAATTATGAAAATAGGCCTTATTCATGAAACACAAGCCAAATTAATTTGTGTAAACTGTTTGTAAGTCATTCACACTTCCTCATCAAATTTTCAAGAGTTAAAAATTATTTATTAAAATAAGACAAATGAGTTATTTGTTATACAAACAAACAAACAAAACAAAAAAACAGCTACAAATTCTTATTTTAAATTTGACACCTTAAAAAATTCATTTTTATTTAATAACCAGGTTTTCCAAGGTCTTGAACATTTTTGAATTTTAAAAATGTGATTTATATATATATATATATATATATATATATATATAAAATAAAGAAATAAAAATATAATAAATGTAGGAACGCTTTTAGAATTAATATACATTTGTCTAATTGATCTAGTTTCTAAAATGTTTTATTGGGTAGAAATCGCTCTCTCTTTCAAAAGTATTTTTAGTTGATTTTTTTAAGTAATCATGAATGACAAAGTCATGTAAATTCACTAGGGAGGCCTCACAAACATAACTGTTTAAAAAATATTTAAAATAAGACAAAACAGGCTTTAAAATAAGCAAAAATGGCTAAAAATTATTTTCAAAAACATTTTTATGTAAGAACTAAGGGTCTTTAAGTCTAGACCTAAAATAATAATAATAATACTCAAATATTATAATGTCATGGATATTTCTATAATATATATTTTTTTCAATTATTTTAAAGGGTAGAATTATTTCAATTATTTATACTTGCTCTTTGGCGGTCAAAATATTTGTAAAAATCCTTTTCATGTAAAGTCAATTGTTAAAAAGAATGAGAACCCTGAAGATCATTCAGTTTATGAAACAATCCCAAAATTAACTGCGCTAAAATTATTTCTGTACCTAAAGTTTGAAAACAAGCCTAAATGGTCAGCCTTTAGATACTGTCTAGGCCAACTGGGCGGCTTGGAGTCCTAAAGGGTGAGAATCACTGGCTTACGGAAGATTTGAACAGAATTTTGAGTGATTTATATATTTTCATTGCTTGTGTTTCATAAACGAGCCCCAGTGTGTGAGTGTGTGTTGCAGATACGCATTAGTCATTAGTAACAGGAGGCAGTAACTGACTATGTTACAGGGCTGGGCCTGCTGCGCATGGTGTGAGGGGCGTCGTCGCTCGCCTCCCGCTGACCTGTGCGATGCTCTCTGGATCCAGACTCTTGCCGTGAGGCTCGGAGAAGCTTGTGTACTGGCCTGAAGACGTGGACCTACGGATGGGAGGACTCTCCATCTTTTTCATGGACTCGTGTCGGCTGATGTTGGTCAGGCTGCCGTGGCCGGTCCGTCTGCGTCTCTCGGGACTGTCCATGGGCATGTATCCTCTTCCTCTCAGCAGGTCCCGTGGACTGTAGTGGCCCATCACTGGGGATCCCAAATCTGGGTTGCCGTGATGGCTCTGGGAGGGGTGGACCAAGCAGTGGGCGTCGGTGGGGCGAGCTGGAGGCTTGCGGATCGGGGGGACACTTCTCTTCCTGTGCCTGCTAAATAAAGCAGGAAATATGACATGTTAAAGTGTGCAATGAA